GCTGCTGTGGGGTACAGATGACATAAGGTATGTAAAAATGCCTGAAAACTGTGGAGCCACTCTTTTCAGTTGTGTTGAATATGACTGTCTTTTTGCTCTACGGAGTGTTAGGTAGTATGAGGAGGCAAAGAACACAAGGTTTACTTCTGGCTATTACCGAAAAGCAAATCCTATTATTTGGTATTTAAAAGAGCCACATGGATTTTCCAACTCCAAGGAGAGTGAAAAAGAAATTTAATACTATAAATTTATGATAGGAACAGTAGAAATATAAATAATGAACAGTACAAAGGAAGGGAGATTCACAGGAAAGCAAATTAACTAGGCACACTGCAGTTTGATTCTGACATGGGGATTTCCCGTAACCTGTAACTGCTTAATGAAATGACATCTGAACTTTATTGGCTTCTCTGAGATCACCTTAAAAGGTAGCAGGTATCTGATAAGATGAGCTGAAAAGCAAATTTATATAATATCCTTGTTAAAACTTCAAGGCAGGGATTATAACCACCCCCTAAACTGCAAAGAACCAAAAGAAGTTGGATCACATCCAAGAAGCAATGTGCCTCAGGTGGTAAATGCAGAGCCAGTCCACAGTCCAATGAGGAAAGTGAGAACAATGGAGGAGCTTTCCAGGAAGCTATGTTTATTCAGTTGAGCCAACTATCTCATTCTCAAATGAGGTCTTCCATTGTCTTGGCTCATTATAGGTTCTTACTGATAGGAAATAACCTTGTTTTTTTAAACTGACAAATGAAAAGTTAACAATGATATTACTCCTTATTCAAACTTGATCAGGCAGCTTTGAGTTTGAATTCTCATCCACTTAAGGCAAGTGGCTTGAGGCAAATTTCTAATCCACTCAGGCTTTGATTTCTCTATGTGTAACAATACAAAGATTGGCAATATTTGTAAAGAGCCTAGATCAAATTGTAGTATTGGTGGTGGTTATATGAAAAAGACAGACAATATTTGTGTTGTTACTTAGATACATAAATTAAGCAGAGTGTCTTCTTTTTAAAATTTTTTTATTGTTTTAAGAGATGGGGTCTGTGGCACTCAGGCTGGAGTGCAGTGGAAGGATCATAGCTCATTGCAACCTTAAACTCCTGGGCTCAAGTGATCCTCCTACCCCAGCCTCCTAAGTAGCTAGGAGTATAGGCATATGCCACCATGCCCGGCTAATTTTAAAAATTTATTTGAGACAGGGTCTTGCTATGTTGTCCAGGCTGGTCTTGAATTCCTGGACTCAAGCAATCCTCCCACCTCAGCCTCCCAAAGTCTTAGGAATACGGGTGTGAGCCACTGTGCCTGACCATGGTAGTGTGTCTTGATGGTATAAAATTACTGTTCATTACTGTGTTAGATGTTTTTTCATTTTCCCATGGTGGCCTCCTTTGGGACTGTCCACGCTTTTGCTCCAAGAGTAAATCTCGAAGGAGCAAGGATGAGTGGGAATTTTCCTTGCATGCTCACAGCCAACCAAACAGCCCTATGTCTGTGATGAGATGCATTCCAGAACCAGTTGTAGGATGGGGTTGGGTTGTACCTACTGGCTGAAGTTTTTGTTAGATCTAGAATTTAAACTCACACTTGGTTCTGGGACTAGTATTTAAAAACTTCCTATTATATCATGTATGTCTTTATATTCCTAGTGCTTAATAAATTATAGTTCCTCAACTTTTGTTGATGATTTGAATAAGTAAATGTACAAATAAATATCAGGGAGTACAACAGCTCCATTAAATCATGTGGGTTTTTCCAATTATTTGCTGCTCTTTGTTTCTGGAACTGATCTGAGATAGATAGCATTTTGATGGGTGAACTTTAACTTACCAAGGCAGACAGAAAACAGGAAAACGGTGGGAGTCCCTATGACTAAAACGTATTAAGTCCATGATGGATATTCCAGGTGTTCTGGCAGGCATCTTCCTGGCCAAAACTTAAGCTGAATTTGAGCTCAACGTCTAATAACAGCTGGACTTGTTTTCCAGGGACCTCAAAGGTCAAACGTATTTTCTTAGATAGGTCACGTTCTGGGGCTTTTGACTCTAATGCAATGTGGGCAATGCAATGACCACGTTATTTCAGAGACATTGACCGGTCACTCAGGGAGTATGAAGGAGGCAAACACTTTGGTTCTCTTATACCTGTCACTCACGGGAAGCTGGTGGCTTAAAGTTTTTAAGATATTCACTTTGGTTGAGTTCTCCACCAGAAGTTGAGCAAGGCAGAATTGCAAGGGCAGGTCCAGGTTTTGTGAGGTCTGAAGCTTTAGACAATATAAGATGTCCTATTTAAGAAAAATAATATAAAATCACAAATAAAACACTAGATATGAAAATGAGAATTTAACTTGAAGCCCCAGCCAGGCACAGTCTCTCACACCTGTAATCCTTGCACTTTAGGAGGCTGAGGTGGGAGACTCGCTTGAGGCCAGGAATTTGAGACTAGCCTGGGCAATATGGTGAGACCACCCTTCTTTACAAAAAAAAAAAAAAAAATTAAAAAATTAGCCAGGCATGGTTGCGCACCTGTTGTCAGTCTCAGTGACTCAGGAGGCTGAGGCAGGAGGACTGCTTGAACTTAGGAATCTGAGGCTGCAGTGAGCTATGATCATGCCACTGCACTCCAGCCTGGGTGACAGAATGAGACCCTTTAAAATAAAAATAATAAATAGTTAGGAACCCCCCCCTTGCAAGTGGGGGATCCCAAAGCTCGAGCTTAATTAGCTTCTTATAAATGCACCTATGTAATAATGGAAGCAACATTTTAAGACAAAGGTATTTGTGCTATAATGTTGATGAGTGGGACATTTCTAAACATTTACCAGTAAGAGAAACACGTACATGCTAAATGTAACTTCAGACATAGACCTTAAATACCAAGTTTTCAGGCTGGAGGGAAGTGAGGCTGGGGGAAGACAAGGGAGAAGGGAACTGGTGACTATTAGGTACCCAGGGAGCCTTCAATTAGTTGGAATGTTTAGAGAACTCGGAATCCTTGAATTTACCTTCCAAATTAATCAAAACCCAAAAGAGGTAACTTATTGGTCATCAAAAATCCTTCTAAATACTGTTTTTTTCAAGGTTCCTGTAGGTTTAACAATTTTTAAAAAACTAGTGGAATTTACTGTGACATTGAGATTAGAAAAAAAGAAAGCAAATGAATTACTTAAGGGGGCAAGAACTATTTTAATGTGTCTTCTCCACTAGTATGCAAGCCCTCTGTGGCTTGGGTGACTAAAGTTGCCCCCATGCCTGTTTGGAATGGGTGCTGGCCTCCTTAACTGCCACTCAGAGATCGCTTGACCACTACAGTCATGGTGGGGATACCAGTTATTAATAGGTCATTTATGGTGAAGCTGGTAAACAGTAAGGGCTCAATAAAAACTTACTAAATGGATGAATCAAATAAATACTTCCACTTTGAACAAATGAGGCCAGACTTAAAGTGGTTTTTATTCCTAAAGATTCTGTAACTGAATTTTGTCAAGACTTCTTTGACTGTGTTTGAGAATTCCGTCATGAATACGGCCGAGGGTTGATGGCAAAATGATTAAGAAATGAAATGGAGTTAATTTTCATTGAGTGCCTAACATGTGCCAGGTATCTTGCTTGAGTTTTGCATATTTACTTATTTATTTTAAAATTTATTTATTTATTTTTCAATAAACCACCTACAAAGCTTCTGGATGTGTATTATTTAAGCTTTGTAACCATTTTGCAATCAAGGAAGCTAGAACTCAGACTTAAATAACTTGTCTATGGCCTCACAGGGAGCAAGTGGCAGAGCCAGAATCCAAACGCAGGTTTGTGGGTGCAAGGCTTTTGCTGTGACGCTGTAACCTCTCATTTGGCCTTTTCTTTCCAGCCAATGCGAAAGACACATGAAACAGTGACAGAGAGAGGCAGGAAGGACTATGAAGATGGGACAGTACAGTGAGAAGTCACATTGTCCGTCATCAGTACATCATTTAGGGCCTTAAATTGCCCATCTGTGAGCCCAGACGGTTGGACTGGATGACCTCTGAGTGGGGTGACCACATGGCCCAATTTTCCAAGGCAACCCAGACTTATACCTGTTTTGCCACGGCAACTATTAGCACCGCTTCCACTCTCAAACATGTTCCATTGTGGATCATAAATTCTAAGGTCGCCCTATCTGTGAGGTTCTTTCTGGCCCTTACTTTCTGTTATTTCATACTGAACCCAATAATATATCTTTGATGACTGAAGCACGATAAAATTTCATTTTCCAGGCCTGGAGGTACAGGGAGGACAGTAGGTGAGGTGGCCCTTACTTATGCAGAGGTTGCTTTGCATTTCTGATATGGATATTTTTTCAATCTAGGAGCTAGTGCTCCTTTCCTTTCAAAGTACACTAGTACATCCCCTTCTAGTGGATTTGGCTTCAGTTAATTTGGGATCATTATGTAAATATTTGTTTCCGACTTCACACTAATAGTGGCTGCTCCTTATTGAGTGCTTACACTAAGGCTAAATGCTGAGTGCATTATCTCATTTAATGCATATATTAATGCTATAAGATAGTTCCTCACCTTATGGATAAGGAAACAGGTTTAGTGAAGTGACTTGCAAGTAAGAGCCAGGTCTTAAGCTCTTAGCCATTCTTCTATATTGAGATCTGTATATACACATACAGCAGATAATTAAGAAAGTTATCAGGCTCCTAAATTCCCATTGGCCTTCCCTGTATTTATCAGTATCCATGCCAGTCTTTGTCATTTCATCATCCATTGCTTCAGCCATCCATCTTTACCTCCTCATAGAAACATCTGCCTCAAGTAAACAGATTTTGACTAAGATGCAGATTCTCAGAAAAAACGAAGATTGGATTAGCAAGTAGGTGCAATGAATACTTACTTATACAAACCTTTGTCTTTCTTTTCCACAGTTGAAAACAGAAAACAGACCCTTGTTTTTTGTTTATATTTACATAAACAATAGTTAAAAGAAAAACCACCAGTTGACACCATATCATTCTGCTTTTCTTTATTGTCTGGCTAACTTACAAAGATGCAGATGTCTAGGGGAGTCTCTACCCTACCATTTACACTATCCTGATGACACAGATACCAAAATGTGTCTGTTTACATAGTGCATGGCATGAAAAAAATGTTTTTCTTCCTCTACGGTCCTTGACTATAAGGAGGAAAAAATTAATTTCACGCCAACATTTTTTAGGAACTTTAACAATCATCCCATTTCTGCTACTAAAATAACAAAACTGGTATTACAATTTAAAATATAAAGACCTAACAGTTTTTACAAATATGCAAATAATCTGCTACTTAGACATAAAAAAAGTTGACTTCTTTTAAATCACAAAGTAAGGCACCATTGGATTAAACATTTCTCCTGGCTTTTACTAAATAATATGCATAGTGAAATAAATACTGAACACTGAGTTTTAATACTGTAATACATTTCAATATAAAATAAGAGGTGAATGTTAAAATACTGTATTACATGTTGAATACATTTATCTGAAAATTTTATGAAAAAAACACACATGTAAGCTCTGATTTCAGGGAAGAAAATATTCATTTTTGTAATTTTCCATAGTTTAAGATTTTACCACAGAACTTACTCAAAGTTTTAGATGCAATTAGGTTGCAAACTTTCAAAGAAAGGGTGTAGGTGTATTAATGAAACACTCACTTAAAACACTACATTCTAAAAGATCTCTATTCTGGATGAATGGCAACTTTGAGTTATGACCCTGTTTCAAATTTAGAATGGTACCTGCCAAGTTCAGATACGCAAAGGAATTGTCCAATTGTTACTACCCCTTATAAAATTCAGACCCACTTTCTTTGAGTCAGACTTTTCTCTGTCATATTTTCTAGGAAGGGGAAACTCCATCTTTTGTGAAATGGGTCATTAGGCTTTATCACAGGGATGCTTTTCACTGTTGAAATCAGATAAAAGAATCCCAAATAAATGATGCTGCTAAATTACCAAACTGCTAGAGATTAACAAATTTTTTTAAAAAACCAACACTTTGCCAGGCTTGTTATACCTTATTATTTCTTGATTCTCTTTGAGTAAAAAGCCCAAATGACTGTATGGAAGACAGATGAATGGTTGATGAGAGAGGAAACACAGGTTCTCTAATGTACTACATCAGGACTTTGGCAAGGAAGTTATAAAAATATAATATATTCAAATCAGTAACTTCATAATTTATTAGACATCCCATTTATTAGAACTCTAAGTTCTTTTGCTTTTATATAAATGAAACATTTATTCTATAAATAGAAATGTATTTTTCAGAATTTTCTTTGGGTTGGGTTCTTGTTAGCATCTCCCAGTAATACATGAATAACATACTGAAACCATGATACAATGTTTAGGTAGATATACATATACATATGTGGTCATGTGTTTTTAAAAAACAAGTAATGGTCATTTTAAACAAAACCATATAAAATATCTAAGTGGAAATATTTTTTCCCAACTCTATAGCTAGATTTAAAAGTCCCAGTAAAATTTTGTAAACAAAATCATGTAAGAAAAGGCAAGGCTGGCTCTTCCCTATGGTCCTTTAGTGGAGCTGTATTTGCATAGATCCTAGACAAATGATGCAAAACAAATTCCCTCCAATTTCCACTAGCAATCTCCCTAATTCGCTCAACCCTTACATAAGAATCAGAGTTAGATTTTTAGAGTTTTACCCACCAACTCAAATCTGTTCCCTTCTTCTTCCATGTTTCTGATTTGACACCTTTCCCTGACTTTCTTCCCCTCCTACCAAGCCTTCCTAGTGTCTCCCAGCCTCAGGAACTTGCTCAGCCAGAGAGGAACAAAGGCTGCTTCCATTTCACAAGGCAGAAGTCCAACTGACAAGTGAGGGCGTGCGCCAGCTGGTTCTGAGCCCGGAAGTCCCGACAGGCTCTCCGTTTCTTTTCAGTGGCTTTATTCCACATGACTTTAGTAAATCGTACTCAATTAATTTCTGACCTTGGTACTTTGAAGCAACACTTGTATACAGATATTAAGGGAAGAGGGAAGATAAGAGAGCAAAATCGAAGGTCAAACTGTGTGTCAAACAAGGTACTGGGTCCTAATTTTATTTTTAGTTGCCTCTTGAATCGCTCAAGCCCATCTTGCCTTTTTTGTTTTTTAAACAAGGTTTCTGCACTAGCTTCCATCTTCCAGACTTACGCTGTCTAATCCAGTAGCCACCAGCCACATGTGGCCACTGAGCACTTAAAAATGTGACTAGTCCAAATGGAGATGTGCTACCAGTAAATGTAAAATACACTCTGGATTCTGAAGATTCGGTACCAAAAGATAATATAAAATATCTCATTAAAAGTTTATGTTGATTACAGGTTGAAATACTTTGGATGCATATTAACTTCACTTGTTGAAAATATACTAGAAATGTTGAAGTTGTATATGGGGCTCACATTATATTTCTATTGGACAGCTCTGTCCTGGAGCTGAGCTCGGACTGCCAAAGATTGGACATCCTGTGACTGCAAAAGTTTCCTGTGAGCCCTTACTCAGCAGCTTGCTTAGGTGGTCTGTGGTTCATGGAAACAGGAGGCCAAGCATGCGAAAAAGGAATGGGAGAAAACAGCTCTCAGGGACTTTAATAATTACAGTCTGTGGCAAATAAGCAGTGAATGTTTGGATTTGGTTGGTGGAAAGCTGGGATGCAATTCATCTCTGCCTATTACCACAAAAGCCTATCGACCCCGGTTGCAGCTGAAGCAAGCAATAGCTTGGAGAATAAACAATGAAAAGCTAGGTGCATTTCTTACCGATTCCCACGCACACACGCATATTCCCACTCACCCTCCCATCTTTCCTCCTGCCCATACATGGGGCACAAGGGAAGAAGCAGGGAGGAGGGTGTGCAGTTCTTAGCAACAGAAGCAGCTCTTGAGCTTGGGTAGAGAAGAGCAGGCAAAGATCACCTCGGGATGGGAGGGAGTGGTGGGGCACCCCTTTCTCTTCGGTTGGATCCACCTTGGTGAAAAAACAGACAAAATATAATTTTGGTTAGAAAGCTGATGTTCTCATTGTGGAAACTTGGGGATGGTTGCACGGGTACCAACTACCTCATCCCTATGACCAGGGCTGTCAGCTAACTGGCATATGTTGTGGATGAGAAGTGAGAGGTGAAAAGAAGCAAGTAATGTTCTGAATAAACATCATGGTGGATGATCCACCACTGGCTCCCAAGTACTTGTACAAAGTTAAAAAAATCATTTTCTTCTTATCACAGTGTGTGTTTATTATAGATTTAGAAAATACGGATGAGTAAAAACAAAGAACTCACCCATTCCTCCAGCACCCAGAGATAACCAATTACGTGTATATTTTTTATTTAGGAACAGTTCCCCGTTTTCTTCCAGAAATAAGATTATGTAATCAGTTTGAACATCTTTCAAAGGCATTACTCTTTGCAAAGATTATTAATGACAGACTGTATTCCAAAATATGAGTACACTACAGTCTACCTAGTCAATTCCCTTTTGTTGGGCATTTAGGTATCTTCTAATTAAAAATGAGAAAGCTTTTCTGACAGTAGCCATCCTAATGGGTGTAAAGTTGTATCTCACTATAGTTTTATTTGCAGTTCCCTAAAAATCAGTGATGTTGAGCATCTTTTCAAGTGCTCTATCAATGTGTTCTTTTAAAAGTTATTTATGGCCCTGTTGCGGTGGCTCACACCTGTATCCCCAGCACTTTGGGAGGCTGAGGAGGGAGGATGGTTTGAGCTCAGGAGTTCGAGACCAGCCTGGGCAACATAGCAAAACCCCGTCTCCAAAAAATTAGCCAGGCAGGTTGGTGCGTGCCTCTCCCATAGTCCCAGCTACCCAGGAGGCTGTGGTGGGAGGATCACTTGAACCTGGGAGGTCAAGGCTGCAATGAGCCAAGATTGTGCGGCTGCACTCAAGCCTGGGTGACAGAGTGAGACCCTGTCTCAAAAACAAAATGAAACCAAAAACCAAGCTATTCATGGGCTATCAGTCCACTGTAACTAGGCTTAAAACCCATTCACATAAAAAAAATTCATTTACTACACAAACATTTGTTGACAAATTTTTTTTTTTTTTTTTTTT